TTCTGCCCTTCTCTGCTCACGTTCACCATTCCTCGTTCAAGTGCTTTCATGTCGTGACTGTGGAAAGATTTTCCCCGTGGTTATCAGTATTAGACAGGGATGGAAGAGGAAGATCACATCCTCCTCTTCTCTTCATCCAAGGGATGATTGATTCCACGATGCTGTTGACGGTCTCTTTCCTCCTTCTCACTTCTGCCACCGTTCTCAGTCTCGCATTCCTCTCTCAGAATGGTAGGTCCCGATTTCTCGTCTACCTTCTCCATCCATAAAAAGGACTAGAAAAAAGTTCCAAGATAGGTTTTAGAACTTCTATATTCCTTGAATTGCATATGCAAATTTTCGTGGGGATCTTGTACTGGGAATTGGGAATGCACGGGAAATATTAATTGATTATTGGTTTTCTTCCCAATTTTTCTCGGAATTTAATTTGAATGGACTCTTTGAGAGACTGGGTTGAGTGATATCTGTATTTTTTTTCTCATTCGGTTAAAAAAATTCGTTGCGTCATCAAATCTTGCACGGAAGTGGAGAAGAATGTGCCACACCCTGCCAGGAACCTCTTTGTCATTCGAGCAGTGCAAGCTGTCCACAAGAAAAATACCTTTCGTCGGAGGTGACCCCAAGGTCAAATCGATCATTAGTCGACAAGTTGATGGGTGGAACCTAGCGAAGATGCCTGAATGTCGCCAAGAGGCAATCGAGCTCTCAGAGAGCTCTCAAATTATCTCACTTATCTAAAGGCTTCCTCGCCTTTTTTGCTCCTCTTCTTCTCAACCGATCATGATGACTAATTGATGGCTGAACTGACTTTGGGTTATCCTTGATAGCCTGCCTTTTCTTCTTAGCCGTTTGTTCCTGAAGAATATCATCGAGCGGACTGTACCATATGCTCCGTGAGCAGCACAACATATCGCAAGCTGCTTTGGTTCATTTCCCGAAATTCACACAAAATTTCATAGTGTTCTGAACTCCCCTTTCTTAAATATTAAATTCCCCCACTCGTTTCCTCCAGGGAAGAAATAAATAATTCATGTAAAAATTTCTTTAAAAGCAAATAATTGAAAAATTCACATGCACACCCACAGCGCAATACAAGATCCCGAGATCACGAGAAATGACATTTGAACATCAAGGAATAGAGAAGCTACAGGTTCGAGGAGGTATCCTGGTTTAGGATCCAGTATCCTGGCCCAGGATCCAGTATCCTGGCCCAGGATCCAGTATCCTGGCCCAGGATCCAGTATCCTGGCCCAGGATCCAGTATCCTGGTCCTTGCATTTTTCAAGTGAAAACGGTGCGCAGTTGGAACGAGGATACAGAGTCAAGGATATTATTTATAGGTACGGAAAGGACGAACAGCGTGAAAGAACCCAAGAAAGAATGGAGTTCAGCAAAGGCAATAGCGGTCTTTCATCTTCAACCATTGTCGAGATGGAAAGAGAAAGAAATTCAAGGAAAACGAATCAGAGCAAAATAATTTCTTTGTGGGAGCTTTCGAGAACTACTCAGCCCCAGTACTCGAGCCTTCTACATCCAGAGGGATCTCAATCAAAAAACAGAAAATGGAATCCTCTTGCCTCAAATGAGAATTTCTCTTTTCATATACGTAAGACTTCAGGCTGAAGAAATTCATATTGACCTTCCAAAGAGCGAAATTGCAGCATTAGAGCGTTCTCACGTTCTTTATTTCCTTCTTTGTGAAGAAAAATGACCGTTATCTTGATAAATGGATTTTGTTTTGCTTGTCTGGAATCGTAATCATTTTCTCGCCTATCATCCGCCCAAACTGATTATCATATCGCACTATTGTAAAAACAAAAAAGGGGAAAAGGGGGAAATGATAGGATGCATGGTACGGATCCAGACATGGGGGGAGAGGGGGTGTCCTGCTTTGAAGATGTTTCTGTGAAGTTCTGTAGATAGGAATTTCAATTTATTTATCAAGATATTGGTCTCTACAGGATCTCGCCGTCACGGATCTTTTCCAAGCCATGATGGATGAGGTTGAGGACGGTCTCGCGACCAAAATAAGCCTCATTGCATAATTATGCTCCTTCTCTCAATGGGGAGCTAGGGTGAAAAATGACTGTAAACGTCAACTTCTTATCCATCCGAGACATTTATATACTCCATACAAGCGCACGTGAGCATTTTCGGCTCGAGCTTTTTCCCTGGTCCATTGGCTCATCGCTTCACAGTTTGAGGGATGCATCACTTTGTCATCCGTATCTCGTCTCAGGTCTCATCAGCCTTGAAAAGTAGACGTGGAGGGATGTGCATGGTAAACTTTGATTAATTTAATCTCCGCATCCCCCCATCATTCATCAGGGAAGAGCGATCAATGTCCTCTTTCCGTTGCACCTTCATTTACCACGAAGTATGAACCGTGTAATCGAATGAGACACGACGTCGACCCCCCCGCTCTCCTTTTTCACCTTTCATCGCTGCGAGGAAGAGAGCAAAAGGTCCACCTCCCCCCACTTGCGAGGGAAGCCTCTTCCAACCTCTTTAGTGCGATTCACTCGTGTGCGCCAAGATCTGTCTCTTACCGTTTCGGTGACAGAGGCGTTCACGAGAGCACTCTCACCGTCACTGAATTGTATCCAGCCGAATGCGAATTCCCCTCGATGGCACTCCGTTACTACTCAATTGATGAGTAGACAATGTCAGCATGGTAGCGCCCGTGTCTGCCTTGTTCAATTCCTCGTCACATATTCTCGCAGAGATTGATCGGAAAAGCAATACCCCTCTGAATACAAGAGCGGAATAATTCATCCTCTGTAGGACTGACGAAGCCGTGCGGATCGTCAAGGCCTGTGCAATCTATCGGGTTTGCGTGGGTTTTGGAATATTCATCCATTATGTTGCTATGTGCCACGTGATGTCAGTTGCTATTCTGGAATAATAGCTCCTGCAAGTGCACTTTACCGATGGAAAGAAAGCTTTTCCTATTGGCAAGAAAACCTTTATGGGTAGGATCTCCTCCCTCAACACCAACAGGAGCAAGCCATAAAAATATTCTTGCTATAAAAAATGACATTTTTTAATACCCCTCGTGGATTTTTTTGTATCTTTGCTACCACTTCCCCCTTCTTTTCCTGCTACTGCTTTTTCTCTATTGTTAACAAAAGAGGCACATGGATCAAACTGATTCAGATGTGATAATATTAAATCCAATATTTGAGTGAGTAACATTTGAGAGAGTCAACATTAGCCTAGCTAATGACTGTCTCATATGGTCCCTTTTTTCCATAGATCTCCTTTTCCTGTTGTCGTAGTCTTCCTGTGGTCTCGGTATAAATCGCGAGCGACCGCCGCTTGAATCGTGTCCTCTGGAAATCCTTGTTGAGATGCTCCGGTGACCCGGGTTGGGCAAGGGTTTCCTGTGTATCGCAGATGGAATGATTCCGCATGGAATGCGAACACAAGACGTAGACTTGCCTCCCGACTTAGAATTGACTGAAGCTGTGTGAAATTCGGACCTGATATCCGGACTTCATTCTCGGAAATAAAAAAAGAATCAATAACAGAGAAGTATAGTAGTAGACTCGATTCTTGGACTAGGACTCGAGATCTTTTAACTCGAGCTCGGAAGTAGCAAAATGTGTGGACATGGACTCCAGAGATGTCCAGATGTCGTATTAGGGCTTGCTTGCGTCAGATTGCCATAGACTTAGATGCAAAGGGTCTGGGGTCGGACTTGGACTCAGACTCGTGATGTCTGAACTTGTATTTCCTGCCCGATTTCCGTTTGACATGGACGAATGTGATGAGCAAGTGCCTGGAAGGGTTTCCAAATTTTGAGGACAAGGACTTCGATCGAGGGATCGATTCTTCCCTTCCCTATCTCTTAATATCTCTGGAAAGGGTCAACGTAATGCCAATAGTCCAGAACTCAGTAATTACATGAAACCGATGCACAAGTCTTCGTTTAACGTCTATAACGGTATTTCCTTTGCGTCAGTCTATTCTTCGGTGGGACGTATAGACTTGCTTCAAGCCTTTAAGATCTGGATTTACCTTGAGAAAAGCGACAGGGAAAGAACATAATCCTCTGAGTGGCACACTTCTGCGGTGAGGAAAGATGGTTATAAGTGGATGATGTTCTCGCGTCTTTAACACTCCTCCGAGGATTCACGCTACATGATACAATCGGAATGAAGGTTGAATAGAATATCAGTGTTTCCGCTAGTGGCGTAACCGATGAAAGCGCTGGGGTGAGGCTTGGCCTCCACCCGAACCATCGCCCTCCAATGCTGCTCCCCTCCCTCTCAACAGGAGATTGTTCGAGGCCTAATATCCGAGATATGAGCATCTCGGCGCTGCATTTCCGGCTGAAATTATATAGGTTCCTTCAGTATTTGACTGCATGAGTGAAAAGTAACAACTTTTGGACATGGTGGATCAGTTGAGTCAAAATCATTTTTATCGCGACCCGAGGCCGCGACCTTATAGATTCGGCAAAATTCTGAAAGCTTACATTTTCGTTACGTTTCGTTCTTCATTTACGTTCAACACACTGGAGTTTGTGGGTTTTATATTCGAAGCCGCCTCCCCCTCCCCCCTTCCTTAAAATAAGATTCTGACCACGTCACTTATTTCCAAAAAGAAATCAAATTCAGGGATAATGTTGGTAATATATAAGCTAATAATGTGAATACTTACGATCACCATATTGCGAATGCTAATAATAAATCTCGTAATACCTAATTATTAGGATTATCGATATAAAAAGTGAGGGACTTGGAGTCTCCGAAATCTCCAACGCACATAAGTGGAGGGGTTCACGGACAGGTCTTCTCGACAAGGAATTCGAAGACTCGAACCATGAGATATTAAACATGAACCACGACTTGTGAATAGGAAAGTTAGAAGTTGCTCGAGATGCAGTGGAACTCGGTGAGCCTGTGTTAATGGAGTTTTCGGGTCATGTCAGAACTTTCGATTCATGTGATAGAGTGAAGGGGATACGACAATGGCTAGGGAGATTGAAAATATAGATGGCCGATGCACGACTTGATCGCCTGGGATTCCATCGTAAGCACGCAGCCTGGATTTCTCTCGGAATTAGTCTTGTGTCGTCACGATACCAGTGAGGCTGATGGATTGGGAATGAGTTCCTCTAGATTCTTGTTAACGCACTGTATAGCCTGCCTATATAGTACAAGGCTTGTAGTTGGAATGAGCCCCCTCCCCCATTTCCCAATGGAAAGCTTTTGTACCCCGACAAAAAGGGATTTTTCCCCCGTCTGTCTCCATACCCATTGCATTTGTCCCTGTTAATCCGCAGACCCGCTCGTTCCAACTCCCTCCACGATCGGAAGACTTTTCAGGCTTCTAATATTTCATTCTTTTCTTTTTTTCTTTCCCTCCATTAGTCTCATCGGGGGAGCACCACACGCATAAATGACCTAATGCGAATATGATTCGCCAAGTTTCAGCTGCAATTTGAGTGGAAAGAGGGGGAGGTTCTTTCAGCTTTTCGGTTGGTCGATCAAGCACTATGACCACTCCACTCCCGCTTTATCTCGCGTGCCGCATGTCATTTTGAGATAATCTTTGACATATTATTCGGGGTGGGGTGGGAAGCATCTCACCAGATGATCCAGTCTCGGGCCCACTCATTGGGCTCCATGAATCTTTCGAACTGGACCTCTGCAGATCATTAATTTACATAATGGTTCCTAGAAGATGGATCCCGGATTATGATTATCCATAAAGTCTTTTCATAAAGCCGGAAGCACTGCACCGTTGTCAGCGCAGAGTTATATATAGTAACTGCTGCTCAGGAAGAAGTCATTCAATCTGGATGCCTTCTCTCTCGTTAAATGGCCTTCATGGTTTTCATAGACTCGACAACTTTCTAAGGGAGACCGATAATGGCGGAGCAAAGTTCGGAATGAGGGCAAAGAAAGATCGGCTCCCTTCGGGAGAGGAGAAAGTAGCACCCTATGCTTGTCATTAGTCCTTTCATTGGAGGAGGGTTGACTACGAAGAAGAAAGAAGGGAAGGAAAGAGGAAGGAAGAGACACTCGGGGGCTGCAGGTGAAGGAGCAAATCGATGATCCCAGCTCGACGTCTGCAGTATTTATCGATAACCGCGCCTTGGAGAGAGACCATACCAGTCTTTGCGAAAGGGGTGCCATGGATCAGGTATGGGAGAGGTATATGGAACAGGATGGATGGATGACATACCTGTCATACCTTCATTGAATGAAATCACGCAGGAATGACAGATGAACCCGAGATGAGCTCTTTCCTCGTCTCCTTTCACCTCCTATCCCTGGCCACTCTCCTGCCTGTACTCAGACCTTCGAGTCAACCGTGGATGGCCTCAAAGGTCAATTCAACAAACTTATAAATGAAATGAAAATTTTATTCCCCCCGAATATAGGAGGGATCTCGGCGGACATGTCCCAGGTGATGCAGGAATTATCGAAGGAGCAGTCAAATGGGACCATCTCGAAGGACATCCACGTTGAGGAAGGTTCCGACGCTGTGCTCCCTTGTCCGATTCCGCAAGGACAAGCCGATCAGCAAACCAAGGTCAGTCCACTCAGATCCGCCTCAACGAAAGGTGATACACGTTTTCATTAGCGAGGCAGGGACTGAGAGAGAAGAGAAAGAAAGAAAGATGTCGGGCAGAGGCTCATCAGAGGGGGGAGGGGAGAGAGAGAAAGAGGGAGAGGAATAGATGGAGGCAATCCAGATTGCTCCAGATTAATCCGGTGGGGCCTGCACTGGAAAGAAAAGGAAAGGAATCAGTCCGGATTTTTTGACTCTTCGTCTCTGGAGATACTCAAGAGAAATACTGCTTCCAGGCGCTTATAAAGAGAAACTTCACTGATCTGACCATTTTAGGACAATGTAAATTATCAGTGTGCGGGATCTCCCAGGAAACGAAAATTCCATCGCACTTCCGCGTATTAAAGAGAAGTACTGAGTGTTGATGCAATTGAAGATACTTTAAGGTCAGGGCTCTTTATTTCTGCTGGAACGCCTTTCCAGAATAAGATAGCTTGAGCAAACGCATTTTCAGAAAAATATAGACACAAACGAAAGAAAGAGAAGGGTTAAACAAGATCTCCGAAATAAAAAGGAAACTTTAATTGTGTAAAAACCGCTTCTCTGGAGAGTATTAATTCTTTCAATTAATAGGGAAAACCTTAATTTCATTCGTTGAACATTAAATTTAAACCGCAGTTTGGCCTCTTATGGCGTAAGACCCCCTGAAGGACCTTGGGAGCTGAGTGAATTTTTTAAAAAGGATTTGTCTCTTTTTATTACAATGACTAGTTTCCTGCAAGGGAGGGAAGTCTAGTTGCCTAGAAGGTGCCTGGGCGAAAATGCCAAGCAAAGGCATGAGGGTTCTCTTTCCGTGAGACATACATGACACATGAAAAGGTGAAACCATTTATTATCTCATCCGTTATGTCTACTCTCATATTTCATTTTTTAAAGTATTCATACTCACGACATTTCCACCACCCTGGGAGTCTGCGACAGTTTTCCCCATCAATACTTATTATGTATTAAGTACTTTCTACGTACCAAATTATTTAGCAGCGCGTTGCAATTTCCTCTCCATACGGATGACGTGGTGCAGAGCACTCCGTTACTCCGGGCATCAGAGGACAGGCATGCCAAGAAACGCTCTTTTCATGCCTTGGAAAGAATTCAGGAATTTTCATTCCCGCTTAACTGCAGGAACTACTTTACTTCACCACGTTACTGCTCGCGGTCAAATGTCACATCTCGGAGGTTTTCTGACGTTCAGTCATTTTGATAATGCGGTGAAATGGGAAGCGGTCAGAACGACCGTTTTCCTTCATTACAGCTTTCTTCTTCACGGAACGAATATTCTTCTGAGATGAATACTTTTTTGCCAAGGCGTTTCTTAGCACTTATTTACGTTCGGTGGGTGTAAATGCTCTTCATGCGACAAGGTCGCGCTGAGTGCGATCGGTCGATCTTCATTACGTTGACACCTGCGCCACAAGCGGCAAGGTAAGAGATCAATCACTACGATTGGAGTCTACTAAATTCACTTCACCTGCTCCACCTCCTCTTTGCACGTGGAACAAGGCAGTGCCAACGCGTTTACTTACCCATGGGTTGGCCCATAAAGGTACCCATACTTCATGGGTACCTTCATATTACATGGATTGTAACTTTTCCCACAATAATCGTAGACATCAAGGAACGTTTATTGGGAAGCACATTTTCCGAGGGAAACCACCAAGGAAGTGAGCCAGGAAGTCGGAAGGTTTTTTCTTGGTGTGTCGCAAGAATCTCTTCTAACTCTGTGGCTCTGAACCCTGCTTGAGAAAGCAGGGTTCAGAACCCTGCTTGAGCTAAGTGTTATGGCGCCCAATTTGAACATGTGCTTTATGCATGCAAAATATTAATATAACGCATTTTAACACGTTAGCCCCCCGTTTTGGAACCACTATTCTTCACTATGGCGAATGTGACCGGCGAGTCACAGGGCTGTCAAGGTGTTAACAATTGCCGAGTTACTTTTTTCAATAAACATTTCTTGAGAAGTCTGTGACTATTTTGCGAAAAAGTTGCAATCCCTTTAGGCAGTAAGTGCTCTTATGGGCCATCATGTATGCTGACTGAATTCTTGCAATCTGGTTTTCGAGTCTCCCTTCCAACGACATTTTCACTAAAACCCACAAAACCATTGTTACCTGTTTCCGTTACCTGACGAGACAGTGCTTCTCAATTGCACACATGTTCCCGATTGAGATTGAAATCGATAACAGCAAGTCCCTTGATCATGTTCTTATCCCCAAGAGCTCATTTACCCTTAAAAAAAAGTCCACCTCTCATGTGGATTTGGAACCAGGTGGATGTCCCCCTAGGCGGTATTTCCACCTGTTGGAGCGATGTCCACCCGGGAGGGAAAATCCACCTGGCTCGAAATACATGTGAGCGAATGGCTAGGTGGATTTCCACCCAGGGGTGGACGTTTTGCAAGGGTGGGCACACCTAGCGGTTCCAGGTCACTTCTTCGAAAGACACTTCTTCTATGCCGCTTCTTCGACTGGACATTTCGACGAAAGCCTTTCAAAGAAGCGTCCAGTCGAAGAAGTGACCTGGAACCCACCTTGCACAGCTGGTTTAAAGAAAAAAAAAAAGGAATTCCAGTAGTCGAAATAAATCTTCCTTTTTGGTGGCGCGTGAACTCGTACCACTAATGCATCTGAAAGCTTTCATGCTTAATTCAATCGTTTATTTTGTGCTTCTCATCCCCATGTGTTCAACTTTATCGAGACATTAGACCCCAAACCCTTTTTTGGCAAGCAAAAAAGAGTCCACCTGAAGATGCGGACAGCACGTAAAGGGCCCCATCTCGTGCCTATGCAAGAAAAGGAGGATCGAACTTTCTCGATCAATTCATCCAACAATATCAGGAAAACCGCATATTAAAGTTTGATTTTGTGAAAGCGGTCTCCCACCGATGTAAGGTTGTTCTCCTCAAAAGAAATATTTTTGCTTCTTGTGATGGGCACGATGATGACTTCTTGACTAAATTTTAGGATATGATTGTGATAGTTTTCATTTTTATGACACTATGCAGGGGAATCGTGTCGATCGATAATCCATGAACATGATTTAGGCTACTCTACTTGAAGCTATTTCTCTTATGGACCTCTCTATCTTATCTTCCCAATTCCTCGTGTGCGCAAATGAGCAACTGGGGGATAACGTCAGCTGGGCGCATATGGGCTACATGGACGCATGGGGGAGCAGGGTGGGCTCAAATTGGCACTGCCCGATTTGGGACGTTTTTCCCCTTTAATGGTGCTCCCATTTTGACGCTTATTCGGAGAGAACTTCCAAGGAGTAAGATATAGAGACGTCTGTGGGAAATCGGGAAGAAGAAAGGGTATTCAAAGATGTAACAGTGGTCCCTTGTGAATTCTGAGCAACGGAATGGCATTTTCATCGTCAATGGCTATGCCAGAGCATAGTAAATTCATGGCCTTGGAATTCTATTCCTAGTCACTCGTCTTTATATGCGAATCGAATGACGATTTCTCAAAAACCTTTCCACCATTCCTTCACTCTCTTATTTTCTCTCATGCGCATAATCATGGAACTAAAAGGGGCTGACTGGAGAGAAGGGAGTGGGACGGGGAATCCTCTTTTCCTGTCGTGTGGTCGAACCGTAGGAAAGAAAAAAAAAAGAGGAAGGAACCTTGTAAGGTGTGTATGATTGGGACATAGGTAAGAGGAGTAACTGAATCGCAGAAGAGATTGATGGTGCGTTCAGTCAAGCGGTGGACATAAAAAGACCATAACGGCAATCAATGACATTTCTTGAGCAAAGAAGGGGAGAAAAGGAAAAGCAGGAGAAGAAATGTGTGAGATTCACGTGCTTAAAAAAAAAGGAAGTCCAATTCCAATGCCCCTTTCCGCCGTGAGACCAGGAGCAACTGCTTCTCGCGGAATGAAAGTCTTCAATTAAGAGATTTTCGGGAGTCTTGTAATCCCATGTGTGCCGAACGTTCCGCTGATGAATCTTGTCTCTAGTGCTAAGCCGAGCGAAGAAGCTTCATATAGTGTACAGAAGGTAAGATGGGGCACCAATATCGGGGCCTGGTATCTCCGGGGGGAAGAACAGGAGAAGGAGAAAAGATTTATAGCTCGTAAGGTGGAAGGGGGAAACTTGGTGATATGGAGCGAACAGGAATCGGATATTGTTGCTCCTCTGCTGCCTCATCACGAAAACCTGATGAGAGACCAGAACCCTCTACATAACTGGATTAGTCGGCCAGTGCACAGAAAACCATATTAAAAGATTTCTTCATTTTTCCCTCTCGTTTTTTTTCTCTCTCTCTTCCTGCCTCCCATTTTTTTCCGCCATAATGATTCGATTAACCGTATGACATGATTTCGTCCATCGGTCATTCGTACATTCATTGACCGAGTCAGTGATTGCTCGTCGCGTCTCTTTATGGACAAGTTCCAGCCTAATTTTCCCTGTGGGTTTTGTTTTCCCTTTCCGCGAAGGTGACGTGGATAAAGCTGGGCCACTACGACCTTCTCACCGTCGGACTGACCACATACAGCGGAAACCCTCGTCTCAAGCCTTTCCACGACAAGAACTCCAAGGTAAGGAAACTGGGGGAACAAAGGGAATAAAGGAATTTTCTGGCCCTCTGCCAACTTGGGAAAATCCGAATTGTCCACCTTTGCCAAACCGAATCTCGTCCATCTTCTCCTACTTGTCTCTATGTGTTGCTTTTGAAATCAGGGAATATTAGCATTTTTCACGGGCCAAAGGAGCGGGCCAAATGAGCATTGAAAGCCCTACACGAGAACTCCGAGTCTGCATTGGAGGAGATTTCGCGTGTTTCTCTTCATTTCCTCTAATTAGAAGCCATAAGCATCCCGAGAGCTAAGAGAAAGGAGTCGATAATGAGACGAGATAATAAGGTTGTACGAGGAAGAGATCATTAAAGGGAAGCAACTCGGGAATCAAGCGGAAAAGTTTATCAGTGCTTTGCCCTTCAAATGCAGAATGCCTAGAGCCGAATCAAGATGATGGCAAAAGCATTCATTACTCTTTGTCCCATCCTCTCTGTCTCCTTCCATGGAATTATTCTCGGAGGTTTTCCTCTCTCATCATTGCGTGGGAGGAAAAAAAGTTGTCAGATTGGAATTAATATCCGACATACCGTTATGGCTCATCAAATTCGGCTATCTCCATTATAGTCTCGAGCAGAGAGACACTTCATTGAATTAATCACAATGCCACGGCGTAGAAGGGATATGGTAATATTAAAAGTCACAGCAAGGAACCCCCAACCCTCGTTAAGGATGGCAGGTCGAGGTTCTTCTGACGGCGATATTCGGTGATCCATAAGAAAAGATGTGGGATGGAGCATGAAGGGTTCGGTCTTTCTAAATCTGTCATTGACATATCTATGGGCTTATAGGGGTCTTTCTAAAACCTTGAGACTCCTTCTCATGACCTCCATTGAAATATATTTCAACTCCTCTCAAGAGGTGAGAAGGGGGATGGGAGAGAGAGAGAGAGAGAGAATCCATTTCCCTAGCTATGATGGAGAGGAAATGGACTGGATGCGAAATGTCTTTCCTATCTTTCCTTCCCTTCCTACTGGGTAAGCAATAGGGAGGAGTAGGAACATTGAGTTTGTGTTTGGTGGAGGGAAATACAGGGCAGTATATCACCCAAGGGATACCAGCACTAACCACCAAAAAGACTGCGTGGAATATTTATGGCCCAACGGATCGAGTCGGAGGCATGGAGACAAAACTTTCTTTCACTTCATGGCTCAGCGCTCATATTCCCCCTCTCTTACTCCCCCACATACCCTTCCCTCATTATCTCGCTCATTTTTCCCCCAATATATCATATATGCATAGATAATCCAGAGGCGGAATCGCTATTTGGCTTGTTGCCTATAGGTTCTCCCCCACTGTGCGGAGGGAGAAAGCACCTCCTTCCTTATCTGAGCCTATGTGCCAGGGGAACCTATTATCCATGCATTAGAGGGATGCAAGGGTTTCCGTAGGCTTGTGAACGTGGTCTCATCAATCCTCCATCTGGGAGCCACATGTTCGATTGTACCTCGCTCGTGTCCCCTTGATAACGGCATCCCGACTCCCCCCGCTCTGCCAGGACTGCTAAATTCCTCACCTCTCTAATGGCGGCTTTTTGGAAGGGAGATTAGGAGGGTACGAAGCGGGAGGAGCCATTAAGGATCGTCTGCCATTCACCAAAATGGCCATACGAAATGAGGAAGAACAATGGGGAGAAGGAGTTTCAGAATATTCCCGCGCAAGCGAAGAATGAAGAAGATAATCACGTCTTGAGCCCCGGTATGAGTCCTGGTAATGTCATTCGTGGAAAAGAAAGCCTGAAGTAATAAAAGAAAAAACTGAAACAGTTCAATTACAGTCGACTCATTAATCTTGACATCAAGAAAGTTGTGATTTTGTCTAGATTAACGGCTCGACCGGATTTTAGAAAACCTGACCGAGTGATCACTCTTTTTTATATTTTCCTGATAAAAAAAACTTCTCTTCCAGTGTTCCACAAAATGCCTTCATACATTCAGTTTCCCCCCCCCCCCTTCAGACTAAGAATTATGAACAGTTTTTTCAACCAGTCGTATCGAAGAAATCTCGAATTTTTCTGCCTCGAATTCACACAAAAGATTTCTCATCGCTAATCAGATTCCGCCGAGAGAGGTTATTCACGAAGGAAAGAAAGAAACTTGTTGAGGCTCTAATGACAAGGATGGATGAGACTGACTGGAGAAAAGAGAGATGACCGCTAAGAGTGAAAGTCTCAATGACGACAGCAATGTTCATTACTCATTTCCAGGAAAGGGAGAGATCGAATGAGGTTTTTTTTATCCTAAAGCCTTTTAATGCTTGACGCCTATCCTCTCCCCCTCATCCCAAAGTAATCGCGAATTTTTTTTTGTTGTACTGCTTCTCATCTGCTAGCAAGGGGAGATTGAGCCGGGGTTCCGGAGAGCTCGTCCGTAGGAACGAGAGCAACAGAATAACGGCTTTCGAATTAAATAAGAGAATTTTAAGATGGAATCATTTGGATTTCTGCCAGGACCATACCTCTCGTTCAAATTAACGGGAGCGCCGTATTACTGACACGATGAACTCAATCGTTGACTCAATCAATTACGCATGGGGAATGATGCCGTGTATCGAGGTGCGATTGCCCAAGGGAAATACGACAGCTTTCCACTCCCTTGATGCCAGGACTCAACGCATTCAGTACTGAAAGTGCAGATATGAAGAAAAGTAAGTGCGGAGATAAGAAAGTGCACTTTCTTTGAGAAAAAAAGGAAATGCCATTTCTCTCTCACTAATTGTTAATAATAATCCGAGGTGAATCTCTGTCCTCTGTCGAATCATACTTTCTCCTGCAATCTCACTTCGTCTTAAAAGGGATGACGTCACAAAGATGAAACTTGGTCTCAAAATCAAGATGAACAGAAGATACGACAAATATGCGTATATTTACGTGACCGCCCATCCCAACTTAATGGGTCAAAGAGACGGAAGAGCGTCTTCCAATGTTTCCGATCTTGGGCAACCGACTCGAGCTCAGCAGATGGGATGCCGAACCTCAAGTGACAAAACTTCTCTATGCAATCGTTTCACCTTGGACGAGTTCAACCGACTGGTCATTTGAGGAACATATGCTTTTATTTTCAAAAATTCGCTCTAGCTAACGAAAAATTGTTATTTTAGCTATACATTATTATAATTTCATGGGTGCACGCGGATTTAAGGGAGGTGAACTAGTCTTCTAGCTCGAACTATGCTCTTCAAAACACGGCACTAAAACCATCCCTCGAAAGGAATTATGCAAAAAACGCTAATTTCTCATGCATTCGCTGCAAGAAGGGCATGATGCTACGAGCACAGAGAAAGCTATTGTGTGAAGTAAAGTTTTGATCAACTATTTAAAAAATTTTAAACTTACTCATAAGCTGGGGCGGGGGGGGGGGGGCACTTTGCATCTGTCAAGTTTCTTGAGATAACACAAACTTGTGAATAAGTCATTTGTTGTGTCACTATGGAAACAGCTATAAGAGCATTGGTACAGCAAGCCGCCATGGAAGGAACAAAAGGAGTCCCATGTAAGTCCGGGACAGAACAGCTCCAATTTCGCGGCTAAGAAGGTTTAACGTTACGGTTGAAAGGTTGGAGCTCTCATCTGTGATCCTTGTGACCCTTTATATTACTTTCTTGCTGCGCCTCATGTAATATTGCAATACTGTTTCGATCGGATTAGAACAGCCCTTGCCATGAATGGGAAGGAGAACATAATTCCCTTAATCCTGCTTGCTGCTTTTAGAACTAAATAAAAAATTTAAGGTATTAAAGTCTTTAGCAACTTTCTTGCTTCATTTCAATCGGGTCGATTCAAGACTCAGTGGGAGATAGAATTCATGAATATGAAGCAGTTTATAGCACTCAGCCGTCGCAGCACATCCGCTCCCTCTCCATTCGCATCTTCCCTTTCCGAAATCTCTCATATTGTGCCCGTCATCTAAAAACATCGACGCGCGTGATTTTGAGCATGAGGAAAACGAACATCTACCGTCAAACCACATTTCTGGTCTAATTCCAAAGGATACCCAAGTCTATCTTATTCTCCTCTTGAGGAATTTATCGACTTGCAGCAGAGTATAGTCTTGAAGGAAGTCGCAAATCTCGAAATTCCCTCGTAAACCAAGACTGCTGGAATCGCAGGGTCCGTCAATTACCGGCTCAGTACTAATAGAATAGGAAAGACGTGCTCGGAACTGGCCCAGCAGAAATCAGATTATACCTCCCCTCTCCGCGGTATATGTAGGCTAGTATTGAATGAGATGAGTGGAAGCGAGAGCCACATCTTCTACAGACTTCTACGTCTTCCCTAGAGAAAGAGGAAGAGATGGGGTTGGGTTTTCTTGGGTCCTGGAAGCATCCAAGGATAATGAGGTCTCCTCATTGGGGATTCCGGTCATCCCCGAAGCAGGTAGACCTAAGGCCTACAGGAGATCCAGAGAGAAGGGGGGAGAGAGAGAGAGAGAGACTCGGGGAGCCGGGATTAACAGGGAACCCCATCCCTTCTCTCTCGCCCCTTTATCATCGTTTCCCGATGAGAGACTGTCTCGTAAGTTGCCTGGTTTCTTGGCCCGCCACTACTCTCTCAAAAGAAGCAATGGGGGCTGCTGGAGGAAGAGAGACAGGGAGAGAGAGAGAGAGAGAGAGAGATGGAAAAGGAAAGACTTCTTTCTAATGGTATAGGGCTTGCGACCGAGGTTTGGGATTGTATCTGTCCCTGATCTGGATTTCCATTCATCATGGTCTTTTGCTCGACTGCCCACTCTCCGCTTCGTCAACCTTGAGACCTGCTAGCCCTACTTGTTCCCTCTGCTTTATCTCCTCTCCTTTTATTTTTTCTCCCCCTTTTCTCCATTTTTTCTCTCTTCGTCATTGACGATCTGCTCTTCCTCGCTGTTTCCATCACCATCGATTCCGTATCCTTTTTTTTTATAGTTGACGGTCAAGAGAGCCCTCTCCCCCGAATCCGAATGCCCCCCCTCCCCCCACAGGTGCTCTCAAAATCAATTAGACCCTGTTGTTGCCGTCTCTGGGGATTTTACCCTCCCCTCCTAAGCTGGGAATCTCGATATACCTCAGAGTGATACGCTTTCCAGTTAATAACTTGATGCTCTAGCTCTGGCAGAATGAGCTTTGGCTTCCTTTCTTGAAAAGATCAATTCTGCTGAGTTGGCCGAAAAAATGAGCTTCGTTTCTTTCGTTCTCCATCTGAGCATCTGTGATTCTTGGGAACTTCTATCGAACTTTTGGAAATCTGTGTGGCAAGCTCCTAATCAGCATAATGGTTACTCGGAATTGCAATCGTTTCGACGCAGTATTTTCGCTGAAATACTGCTATGAAATACTGCATTGCGTTGCTGGGAGAGGGACTTATATACTAAATAGCAAAGATAATGCGAGCAATAACGCGATAACGCATGAAAATACTCTTGCTGCAGATGAATATTTTGGATTTTGCTTCAGCCGTGTTTACGCCGTAAAATTTATGGATTAAATTTATTGTACACAGGATATTTTCATTATTATGAAGCTATTCACGAAATATAGTCTGCGGCATTGCATTAAATATTCAATACTTCGCATTTTTCATAATAGCGAGCCATCTTGCCGAAGAGAACACCAAACAACAAATGACGTCATATTTCATCAGCCTAATAATTAAATAAAAGTAAAGACATAAAGTATAACTAAAATATAAAACGCAAATTTGCATAGAAGTATGGAAACAAAACTGGAAAATGTGCAAATATATATAACTGTCACAATTTTATCTGAAGTCCTAACCATTGCCCAATTCAAATTATGTACGAAACTAATTTCGCATGATGACCCAGTAAATGAAAGTATTGAGGAATGCTTAGCGGACATTTTGTAGCTTCTCAAAAAAAAGGAAGGAGGTACCTCCTCCTGATACGCCTCCCTTTAGTCACAAGTGACATTTCTTCGGCAGAAAAAAAAAAATTTGGCCGCGTCCATCTAATCCGGAACAGTCATCGATCTTAACAGCAGTCAACTCTAGGTTTTCTGACGATATTAGACGCGACCCTGTTGAAATTCGACCCCGACAGTTTTAGCTTCGGCAGCGCTCCTCTCACCACTCGCTGTTACGTTTCAAGTCTGCGAGAGTACTTTCGAGTTCGGCATCCTTCATTGGAATTTCGGCAGCGGCGGGTGACTGCGCTTAGCATGCAGGGAAGACATGAAAGAAGCCACTGTTCCCACGTTGCGAGCTGGTTTCCAATGGCAGAGCGTACCGCCTATAGATAACATGCTGTGTTAGTCATGAGTAGAAAGAAAAACATAGCATATTCAATCGGAAATTGTTCCTGTTGGTCGAAACGAACGTGAATGACTACAGAAACCATTCCAGTCGTCAATACGCTCTCTTCTTTGATATCGATTAAAATGTGCTTCTGCATGGCGAAACCATGGAAAGCATTTCCATGCTATTGGGCCCAGTCGATGCAATGCTTCTCCTATCTCAAGCAGTTTCTTCGCCTGACTCCGCCGAAAATATTGTCCATATTTTCATTGACAACGTTTTCCACTGCCCGAGCTCAGTCTCAGTTTCTGTTCAGTGTGGCTCACGCTTGACCCTTCGACGCCCAGAGCGCTCCACTAGACGCGAGTGAGACCGAGTGTGTCAAGGGCAAGGCAAAAATCCCAAAAACTTTTAACGTCTTCGCTCTCACTGAAGTAATTTCGCGAAACTCTCGCTGTGCGTAAATGGATATGTTTACAAACGGAATTTCATCGGAATTTCATTAAAATATGTTCCGCAAGGCGGTGAGGAAATTCAAAAGAAGTCGGAAATGGACAAATACTCATACTGGCACCAGAGTGGACTCTCGCCCGAGCTCTTTCCTTGCACACGTATCTAGACCACATTCAACTTCTCTTCCATTCGAATTCCCTCTTTGGGGCTGTAATGGGGGCAGGGGGTCTGTACTAATCACCCGAAACGAAGTCCCGTATTGAGTTTATTAGTGGGACGAGAAAAGGGAACTCTTAACGATGTGTAGGAAAATTGGGCGAAGTTTCGAGGGAATAGGATGAGGCGATGCAGAGAAAACTTGCCGAACGACCGAGGAACGGAGGGAAAACACGTCACTGATAACACCGAATTTCTTTTTCCCATTTTCTTCAAGCCCCTTTGCTATTCCGTGATTGTCGCGTTTCTGACAGCGAAGTCTTGCCAAGATGAAATCTCCGAGGGCAATTTCAAGAACTTTTTTGCCGTTTGATGAACTTAAGATAATTGGGATACTCAGCATCCATTAGCCTGATGCATGCCTCGGGCTGATGCACCAAGCCACAACGATCAAAGTCTCTAACAAGTTTGTGAAATTGCTTTTGGAGACTTCATCTCGGCATGGCTTCGCTGTCAGCCCCTCAACAATGGCCTAATAGAGAGACTTGGGAGGGAAACGAAAATGAAATTTGCGTTATCAGTGGTGTTGCCTTTTCCCTCCATTCCTCTGCCGTTCAGCAAGTTCTCTCTGCATTGCCTCATCCTGTGACCTTGCAATGCCGCTCAATTTTCCAACAAATCATTGAGAGTTCCTGTTCTGGGTCCCGTTAATAAACTCCATACGGGTGCTCTTTTTGGTGATTAGTACGAATTCCCACCCTCATTTAAATTTGGAGTGTTTGGCAAATTTTCTCGGGAAATATTCAATCCTAAGCCTTGAAGCTGTTTCATGCTCGGCGTGTCAAGTGTTTATTTGTCTCAAGAGCGGATCGATGTGACTCGCTCCTATTCTATAAACAAAAAAAAATATATATATAGCAATCCTATATCTAGAAACACGGAAAGAGAGCACCACGTTTTTCATACCAACCTCGACGTCGTCGTGCCGAGTCCGCCAGCGTCGACGGCCCGCTTTGGTCAACACAGCGTATTCGAAATCAAATTTCCTAAGGCAGCGAGTTCTTGGGAAGGGACATGTCGCCGTGTTCGCTTCATCGTCGGGGAGACTCCAAAGGCAGCAACATCCCGATGCCACTCGCTCGTCGAGTCGACCTGCCGAAACCGGAAGGACATCTGCCAAAAATTAATGTACCGTTGGTGATATTGAAACAAAAACTTGAGGGGGAGGATATTATTGCGAGAAATTGAAGGACCGTGCCAGAATTTTACTGGGCTTCTGCCAAATATCGTCCGGAAAATCGATATATTGACAAATGTTTTACTTTGAACAGATGCAATTAACATCCCTATCTATATCTGGCATACAATATTTTAAAATGACTTGAAAGTCCAATTTCACTAAATGAAGTTCCCAGAGAATTCTCCCGCAAGACACTCACCTCATACTAAGAGTTCTTAGGATCACCTCAGCATACCTCATCGTTGAAGTAATCAAATAATGGTTTCCTCTAATCAGAGCTTGTGCGCAAAAGCGACACGAACGTTCTTCCCACGAACGCTCCCAAGACATAATTCGATAATTGGGAATTTCGTCGCAAAACTGTCCTTGAGATCTGATTTATTTAAAGCTGCAATAGTGAGATTAAAGTAACTGCATCGCTGACTAGAGCCTCCTGCATAATCGCTCGAAGATCCCGATTCGTCCGTGATAATCCAGAGGAGAGGCGAACATTTTCTCTTTCTTCTTGCTTACACTAAGATTCTCTTAATCTGTCAACTTCATCAAGAGATAGGAAACGGGATTCGAGCTATCACATGGTACATTTCGATGCCTTGATATATGAACGTGACCTTTTTCTCTAATGCTATCTTTCTACCCTCTCTCTCCTCTCCTCTCGCATCCTAGTCGTATGAGGGGTCCCAGTGCGACCATAGCTACACCCTTAATAAATAAAAAAGGGTCTGCCGCATGACAGGATAGCCTCCTGTGGTCTGGAGCAGAACAGTCCCATAGAGACACATGCACACTTCGACCCAAGGCATGGCGTACGACGAGAAGAAGCCCTTTATTCGTCTACCCCCGATGTGTAGACGAAAAAAAAATTGGATCGATGGATGAAGGGCGATAATGGTCCCCTCTATGAGCTGTATACGGAAGAGGAATTTATTGGTATTCTCCAAGAGGCATTTTCACATGGAGTGCCTACAAGGGGGGGGGATGCTTAGAGACATCCGGCTGCCAAAACAGTTCGACTGACAAGGGTGGAAAAATGGAGAAACAACTCGTGGAGCGATATTTTTTTCGTTTCCTTGAAACCTGAATGTTTGCATCATATTTCGTGAGGTGATGGCCAGAAGAAGTAGTGCCGACGACGTGTGGAAGGAAGGATGTCTGGCAGAAGATGGGCGAGAGAGAGGCCTTTGCCAAAAAAAATGCAGATAAGCGTCATGCATGAGATATAAGGAAGGTTTCAACCTACCCCACTGTGCTTTCCACTTTCATTCTGCTTGCTTCCTGGATTCATGGCGTGGTATCCCTTCCCTATCTTCTTCTTTCGACCTCGTCTTTTCGTATATCACCTCATTTTTTTCTTGGAACTTGAATATGACATTCTGGCACTCATCCCGCTGCCAAGTCATCAACGAAGCGAGAGAAAGGAACAAGTTTATTCCATTCGGAGAGCAGGCTGACGTCAACCCTAGAGTCGGTAGTGGTGTGAGAAGTCCCATAATTTCTCTCGCTCTCTCTCTCACGGGAAATCTCCTCTTCCTTTCGGTGTTTAGGGGTTTCGGTGGACCACAAAATGCTCCAAACCAATAGTGATACTTGTTAGGCATCACGCTTGACATCAACCTTGACATCAACAACATCAACGTAGAAAGAAACACAGTTACTCTCAGCTGCAATGGTTTGACTTAGTTGGCTCATCGGGAAACAAGAGGAAACACCTCTTGATTTGCCAATCGTCCGATAGTATCTCTTCCCATTGGAGGAATTTAGTGGAGTACCGTTTTTCCCCAAATTTTCGAGATGCTGAACTTAGATTTTAAAATGCTGTGATAGTCCTGTCTCATCCAGATCTTTAGATATATCGGGTGAAGCAAAAAAAAAAGTCGCGCCGCTCTTTAAGATTCTTTGAAGCAGATAGCTCGATAGTCAACAGTTTTTTAGGCAAATGCTTTAACGTACCCTTTAGACGTCCTAAAATTCTTGTTCATATTTCTCCAGCCGTTTTAGCACAGGAGCGAAAAAGCGAAGGCAGCTCGAATCTTATTTTTTCGCGAGGAAACGAATCGGCGGAAGTGTAGTTGGTACGCGTGGAGCGCACTTATCTCGGGTCAGAGCTCTCTGCTCTCTGCATAAAAATGCTGCTCTTTGTGAAATGGTGGGGTGGGACAGAATTTTCCAATAATTTACTGGTAAGGGATGAAAGAAACGTAGGTTTATCGTTAAGAGACTGATTCACAACCTGCGAAAAACCGGTTCATCTGAGAGTAAAGAAGCAAAAATTAGCCGGAACTGAAGGAAACAGTTTTTATGGGGAAGAAGTCATTGTTTTCAAAATTTTCAAAGAGCGGGGCGTTTTTTTTTTTGTCTCATCCGGTATAAGTTGGCAAACCCAATGTCATGTTTACCAACCTGCAGAGAGCTCGTCCTATACTAATATTGATCCCGAGTGATCGCATCGCGAAGTTTGACTTCAAAGGACTCGATCCAAGGACAAGGATCTCCTGGAAAGTCTGCCTATCGAAGGACAGAATCCAGGTAGTAACTCAAGACACTGAAACAAGATGGAGGAAATTGGAAGATGTATTGCTGGGAGTTCTTCGGTTCCCAGCAGCAATTTCGGGGATTGATTTGAGATTGGGTCGAAGCCAGACCTAAGTCTGGGGAATTCGCGGGGATTTCTCAAGGATTGTCGGACTTCATTCTCGGGATCGGATTCCCCGTCGTTCCCGGGGTGCTCTCTTTTTTTCCCCCCTCCCAACTCGGTCATAAAGCCCCCCCTCTCTCGTTCTCCTTCCCGTTGCTTCCACGGGAATGGGAATGGGAAAGCGAAAGAGATGGATGGATCTGGATGCAAGCGTGCTCCCTCATCACGAAGAATGACTTCGGATGGAAGAGTAAAAGAAGATAAGAAAATACAAACCGGCTTTCATCTCATCACCCCTCCAACAAACGCCTCTGTGCACTTCTCAATCAATGAAGTTTCACAGGAAGCTTCTTCCTTAGGGGATCGAAGAAGGAAACAGCAACGAAGGACTTTGACAACTGGAACGATCGGAAGGACCAATCGGAATCGATATTTTAATTATCGCTTCACGAGGCCTTAATGAAAGCAATTTATTGTGATTGAAAATTTAGACCAGATCGATGAAGGGTATGAACTTCATGAGAAGCACAAGGACGTGGTGATCTCAACCTACCCTTCTGGGATAGACAAGCTCACTTCTATCATGAGAGGAGGTAGTTAAGGGAAGAAACGATTTAATTTTCCCCTTCATTAAGGCAGCGAGAGAAGGAATCTCTTTCCCGAGTAGAACGAAGTCGAACTAAGTAGGAGACAGAAATAAAAGAGGAATGGATGAGATATTCTTGTGATGGATGATACGTCCTCTTCTGTACATGTGGCTCAATCTCGAGTGAGAGACAGTCATGATGTATTTTCCTGCCGTGCGACGCAAATCCGGAAATTTCTTTTTGGATATGGAACATGGTACCAGTCTCTCTCTCTTCTATTTCCCTGGCCAGGAATGGGGTTTGGTGATTAGCAACGTGGAAGAAGAGGATGCCGGGATCTACGGCTGTCATATCCCCACTTATCCCCCAACGTCCATCTTCATCCAGTTGCATGTGACACGTAAGAATACTAAGCTCTCCTACCCCATTTCCTCGTAAAGCTGCCTTTATTATCCCCTCCTAATATGATAATGGCGATCATTAGGGTGTCCCGGGGCTCTAGAGCCAATCTGGTCCTACATGTAGCTCGGATATGGTAGCACATTGATCTTGCACATTTCCAGAGAGCCTGGGCAGATGCTACGTCATTCCCGACTTGATCTACCATGACTCGGCGAATATGCCCACCACACCCCATTGCCCTCTCGATGCCGAGGCCACTCCGAAATAATGCGCGTGCATGTGCGTGTCAAAGACCTTTCCTCATTTCCTGACGAGCACATACGATCCGCTGATCGCAGGGACGGTGGCGGAGATATCCGGAGGTCGTGAGATCCACGTGAAATCTGGCAGCTCGCTCCGACTGCATTGCCGATTCATCGGCGGCCATCCTTCATACGTATTCTGGTACAAAGGCTCCGACATGATCAATCACGATTCGAAGGTGAGCGTCGGCCTGGACGACGAAGGGAGCCTCATGGTCCTCTCCAACGTGGACACCAATGACTCGGGAAACTTCACGTGCGAACCTTCTACTGGACAGCCTGCTTCCATCACTGTTCACGTTCTCAACGGTCAGTTGGTGTATTTTTCTTCTCGGAAGGGGTAAAACGACTCTGAAAGAATGCGACAGACGACCGAACATCCGAGCTTTGTCGAAGTGTGCATCGAAGCAAGGATCGATCCTTGCGGCCAAAAGCTCGCTATAGGGTATCTCCTTTCGCTCACTGACATTTTACATTTTTCCAACCTAGTTTTCGCGTTCTGCTTTTGTTTCTCGTGAACCAGATCTCAGAAGAACTTGGTACTCATCTCAGAGGAAAATATTCATAGGATCTCGGATAAATAGACTGCCGATGAATGGGGATACTCATGAATACCGAAAGAGAAGAGTCTGGTGCTATGAAGATAGTAGCTCTATTCCATACATAGAGGGTATTTGCAAGCAACCAACACCCTTTGTCAGAAGCCTTTTCATGTGAAACCCACTGCTTCAAGCCTGATAAGGAAAAAAATACCTACTGAAAAGAGAAACTGGTGCATACTTAAAAACTCGGATTCCCTTCGGTCTCCACTTGGGAGGGGAAAAAAGACATGCAAGAGTTTTTCCTTTCCGCACGCCCTGTGCTTTCGGGATGATTTTGGGTCCTCTCTCTTCCCCTACACGCAAAGAAGGAATCACAAAATACCTAGAAGGCCTTATTATTCATGTGGTACGGAGGTTCGTGCACGCCATAGATATGGCGCACGCGGTACATCCCCAAGGTGTCAATATTATCTATGTCAACTCCTAATCCCCATTAAAGTCTTCGCCATGTGTCACAGTAATAATGAATGAGTCCCTTTTCTCATCTTGACAGCTGGTGAGAATCCAGCCGCGGCGATGCGTCAAAGAGCGAGTCTGATATGTCGACCGAGATCCAGCATCTCGTTATTGGTGTTGGCCATTCATTTCCTCATTCCTCGGCTCGTTTTCCCCGTCCCAGCCAAGTGAGTCCTTTCTCGTTCTTCGTTCCGAATAAGATGAAATTATGGCCAGGGATGTTGGCAACCGCCACTCGTTGCAATGAGCCATTTCCCAGCCATGGCTCATCTGCCTCTTTCTCCCGTAATCCCGGAAAAGAGAGGGAAGATGCAGAAAAGCGCATTCTCCTGGCTTGAATCATGAGTCGCATTAGAGAGGCGGATAGGACCCTTTATCGGCCCTTCATATCGATGCTCATCAAGGCTGCACATTCCTAATAAAGAGCTCCTATTAAAAGGCATCGACAAGATAGAGTGCCCTCGGCACCTCCGCCCATTAACGCCTTTCCTCTGTCTCTCCAAAATCCTTTCTCCATGAAAGCAATTCGTCCTCTTCGCCCTCGATTGCAGATCTAAGATGTGAGGAGCTTCGGTGAAATGCCAATACGCTTGAAGACAGGATTGGAGTTCCTGCATTCGTTCAGCTGGTCGACGATGATCCCCTGTCGGCCGACTCAACTGTCCCCATCAATGTAGCATGTAAATAAGATCAACTTGGAAAATGGTTCTTTTCTGTTTCTTCTTGTTCGGAAATGAGGAAAAGAGGAAGGGGAAAAGGAATAAAGTGTTTTTTCTCGATAAACCATCTGGCTTTTTACTTGAGGTGGAAAAGGAAGATGATGAGATGAGCAGAATCAGACCAAATGAGAGGGCGGAGGGGAGCAGTCGAGATGAAAGAGAAGGAATTTCCGTCCAAAGAGAGCTCGGATTCATTAAGTGGCCCACTGGCACTCCAGAGAAAAGGAAAAGGAGAGAACCGTAGAAAAAAAGGAGAGAGAAGAGTCAGAGGAATAAGGGTATTCATCCGCTGTATTTGGTTGAGACGAACTTGCATCTCTCCCATTCCCTCGAAGAAAGGGCTACAGCGTGCAAATGGACTATATAACACTCATGGCAGTCATACGGGCTTTCCCCTCCATCTCTCTGTCAGTCACAATACATTTCTGTGACGTATTTCCTTCTCCCGGTCCTCTTGGCACCCATCCATCCTCCAGCAGAAGAGACACACGATGCAGAGGATAAGTTTTCCATCCGTCATTCATAAAATGGGCTGAGGAAATCCACAAGGCTCTTGACCTTAAGCAGTGTTTGCCGTGGATTCCAATCGTAAGTACTTGAGGGATTTTTTAAAAGCAATTATATATGGTAATTGAATTACCTTCTGAATTCAAGTAATTAGGAATAAATTAAATTGCTTTTCAAGGGGTGCTAAATAATTGAAGCCACAATCACTTTTCTAATTACAACTCCATCTATTGCACTCTATTAAATTCAGGGTAGGCCAGAGAGAAATTTCAGCCACATTAAGGGACGACTTGAGTGCATCAGTAATAGCACTAAGCCTGCATTGATTTAGTAAAGAAGGAGAGCTAAAGTCTCATAATAAATAGAGTTCGCAGGTCAGAGGAGAGAATTTGAGCTTTCCACATGAGAACATGACAAGAGAATGAAACCCTCTGTAGATGCAAGGACGGGAGACGGATTTCCACTCCCTGCGGATCGTGTTTTGTGCCTCGATGAACTGGAGTGAAACGTACTTGAAAATAAAGGATTTAACTTCATGTCATACTCAAATTTACAATTATCTTTTAAAGACTAGCAAATGAGTCAGAAGGCTGAAACTCGCAATGATTAGAAAAGCCAATTCATTAATTTGTAATAAGTAATGAAAGATGGACTTGAGTTGTCGCAACGAAATATATCTTTTTGGTTCGTTATCGAGAAATTACATACTTATTGTGGCGGAAATAATTGAGGCCTGAGGGATTCCAGTAGAATACCAAATTAATACTTACTCGGGGAATCTTTTGATCAAAGACTGATCAATCAGGGAGCTATCTTATTCTCAATCGCTTCTTTCTTCCATCCTCTTCCTCCCTTATCGTGTCATTTATCGTCATTTTCCTCATTCTCATGACTTATTGAAGCCAGTATCGCTCCATCTCCGCTTCTTCTACTGCTGCTGTCGACCACTCTTCCGGATCTTATACGTCTTTTTTCTCTCACGACATCGCTTTTTTTGCTTTCTCCTCCCAACTCCTGTCATCAGGTGCAGAATTCATCACACTTATTTAATAAGGAGCCAATTTAATCGACGGTTTATATACTGATATTCATAATGAAATGGGTTCTCATCGGGATGAATTCCTGGGAGGGAGGGGGGTGGGGGGGGGAGGGGGGAGTGGGAGGGGGGATCGAGGGGCTTAAAGGGACTCCTGGCATGGATGCCGCGGAATCCGTACGATATCTCCCCGATATCGTGCAGATGCATTATGCGGGAGGAGAGAGGAAAGAGAGGGGAAAAATGGGATCATCACGATTTTTTATTTTCCCTCCCCCCGTTCTTCAGGTCGGCTCCATTAATCAACCTGGTCCTGTGCCTCAGATTGATTCCACAAACATTCCTGCTCGCCCAACCCAATTATAGCAACCGCAACGAGACGTTGAATCAATCGTAATCCAATTATATCGATTTTCACCCGCTGCCCCCTGAATAATAGTGATGAAAAAAGGAGGACCTGCGAATTCGGCCCTCGTTTCTTCGACTCGTTCCCGCTTGGATTTGGACGGCTTCGTCCAGCCACTGGTCCACGACTTGGCAAATGCTAACTCGGGAAGAAAGCGTTAAATGGGCTAATGGAGGGAAGAAGCGGGGAGGACGCTTTCTAACCCCATTTACGAGACTGATCAATCGACTCTGTCCATGTCTGGACTGCGTAGTGAGAAAATATGGTTCTGCCGTTCTTTCTGTTTCTCAATGAAGATCGCGAGGTAAATGGCTACGGATCGACTCGGGATATATCCGGTCTTTGTCATGAGGATGCAAGAGGATTTCGCTCCAGCTCTCTCTCATCCTTCAAGGTATAAACTTCATTATGTAATATATCAATATATATATATAGTATATATATATATATATATATCCCAGTTGCGGATAAATTCTCTTCTGCTGCCCTGGAGAAAGGAATCGGATTTTCTCGACATTGGATGGGAAATCCTTCTTTTCCCCTTCCTTTTCGGCCTGTCTCTTCCTCACAATTCATGCTCGTCGGCCCTCTGCCAAGACGGAAAGGATCAGGACGGTGCCGAAAGGGGCTCCCTCATTTGTAGGAGATCCGCGATGATCCCTTTCTAGGGATAGCAACACAAAAAAAGGAGTACGGAATTTTCAAGGATTCCACAGCAGATGGAGATAAAAGGAAAGTAGGGCAGATAAAGGATAGAGAAATGGCGTTCATGAATGATTGAAGCCCCGGCAGGAACGTGTCAATTGTCGAGCCCATTTCTAGTGCTTTACGTCTTCCAGAAAATCTGCCTCCCTCTTTTCACCTCTCCTTCGTATTATAGTTAGATAAGATCCTGTGGCTATTTCTTTTGTCTGAGAGAAAATGAATGAGATCTCGGCTGGCATTTGAAGATACCATCTCTTCATCACAGCTAGCAAGAGAGTAAAGAGTTATTTATAGAGTCTCCCTCATATACAAAGTTTTCCAAGGCTCCTTAGGGACCTGCTTTGACCTGCTCCTGTAGCGAAACGAGGAAAGGAGACCCGCAGAAAAGTGAGATGGGGAGAAGGTCGTTTTTCTTCATTACAGGGCCGACCGTGGCTGGCTGACACATAAAACGCCTTCCTGGGGAGTCATCGTTTCGTTGTGTCCACCCGAGACATCACTCATAATTTCACTCCTGTCAGGCTTGCAGAACGAGAGACACCTTGATCCTGGACCGAGGGTTTCTTCACGAGAAAATGGCCTCATCGATGCAAACTAGAATGGCGGTCTGCGTGAATCTCCGTGAATGGTGGTCCGGTTGGTCTTCAGGTGCAGAATCCGGGAATCAGAGGATTTTTTGGATGAGTGATCATTTTGATGGAAAAGAAGCGAGAAAAAGAGAGAGAGATGAAGAAAATGGAGGGGGCAAGGAAGGGGGCCGAAGGATCCGATCATGGGGATATGATGGGGCTCAAATGAAGAGAGCAAGGAAGCTTTCAAAGGGGGGGAGAAGGAGACCTTTATAAGCCATAGCATGGCCTAAAATAAAGGGAGGGAAGGAGAATGAGGACGGTTGGCTTAATTAGTCTCCAGAGTCTCGTGGACACACACTTTGGACATGGGCCAGAAGGAGAAAAAGGTCCAGGGGAGGGAAAAGGAAAAAAAAAGGAGAGGGAGAGAGATACGGTGGCCACTCTTCGCGATTGGTCATCATGCTCCTTGGACATCAAGTGGACATTCACGGCTCATGAAATCCACTCTTTCTACAGATCCTGGGCCCCCTTTGCCCCCCGTGCACACGACGTCTCTTCAATCTACCTTTTCGTTCCTGCGTGACGTACACGCGTCGGAACGAGATCATCGAGCATCGATCCGGCACTGAAAAGGGAAGGAAAGAAATAACCGCATGAATGACAAGGATTCCAACACGCAGAAAGATGGCCGATGATGGAAGACTCCGGCAAGGAAATTCAGAACGTCTCTTATGAATAACACATGAGGGGCTCCTCATCGAAGCACCTTCGCGAAATACGTCTATTGCCTGCATATGAATTCGCCGGGGAAATGTATGCACCTCCGAGCACCTGGAACCAGAAAAAAAAAAAACAGAATGGCTTATCGCCTTGCGTTTTATCGACCAGACGCTTGATCGACGTCCTTGTCATCGCGGTGGAAAACGGCTTGGATTCCCCCGAGGAAGTCGATGTATTTGTTTATTTATACCATGCGAGCTTCTCCTAACGATCCTGCGGTCAGGGACAAAGGACAGGCAAGAATCTGTCGCACGCCATGAAGAGAGGCGTCACGAGGATCATTAGGAAAAGTTGGACTTCCACAGATTCGCCTTTTCGTTTTTCCTTTCATTCCTTCTTTCCTTCTCTTCTCGCTCGGAAATGGGATTGGGTGTGACAAGGAAAGAGAGTGGACCATCGATCACGAGCCGGCCGGCTCAGGTCAAGGCAAATCATTCCTGACGTTGTCGTTATCATTCTATATTTCTAAAGGCCTTAGTCGAAAAGAATTTCCTCTTCACTCCTCTCCGCGCCCCGATTTCCCTATCGAGTAGGTGAATAGCCGGAAACGATGGGAAGAGTTTCCTCATCCTTGTTTGAGGGAGAACGGGAGTCTATTTGATTTCCTCATTACAGCGGCTTTGTCAACAGCTTCACTCACACTTCGTCAAGGAACTTCCGACCTTCCCTTAAATGATATGGAGAGTGAAAGAGAGAAGTTGGCAAACATTCGACGAGAGGAGGATAAAGAGAAGGCCCTGTTTCTTGTTGAACGTCCCTGTTTGGCAAAGGAGAGGCATATATCTATTATCTGAAGGCACTGGGGAGAGGCCATCAATGAGAGAACTGGCTCCGGGGATGATGGATTCCCGGCCTTCCTTGAACCTCGATAATCCTTTCTCTTCAACTCTTTTTCTTCCTCCTCCTTTTAGCTTTTCCCTTCTTCCCCCTTTTCCCCCCCTTCTTTCATTAGACAGATCTTCGAGGCTTAGGGAGATCGAGGCGGGGGGCATGAAGGCATGCCGTAGAGGACGCTCGACGCTCGACGTGTCTGGATTCCTCACGATATTGGTATCGATTAATCCCACCGCCACAAATTACCGCCTCACATGCTTCAAGGTGACCGGCCGTCCGCATTCATCATTCGCGTTGGAAGCACAAAAGAAGGGCGACAAAGATCGTGGCAATGAAAACATGACAATTCATTTTTTATTCACCAACAGCCTAGCAGTGTTGCATATTCCAAACCTGAACAGCGTCAGGCCATAATTAAGCGTAACTCAAGCCGGGGGAGGAAATGAAATGACATTTGTATCATTGAACGCGATCTCATAGAACCAGTAATAAAATAGAATTGTCTCCTAGAACTCTCTCTCTCTCTCCATTTCAGGTCAGTTGGAATTCAAAGTCGGAACACTTCACTGAACATAGACCGAGATGGAGAGAGCTCTCAAACGGACTAGAGGCTATTCGATGAAACCAACAAAATCATTCAAGAGCTTTCAAACTGAAACATAAATAAAATCACAAATACAATGCTTGTGATTATCCAAACATCAAAAGGTTTTGAATCGACCATATGCTACTTATCAGGGAGGAGAAAAACAATGCAAAACTGTCAATCTGGGACATATGGCTTGTGCGGACAAGGTAAAAGCAAGAATTTCACTGCTGTTTTGTTTCAACATATCAGGGAACAAAAAAGTTCTTGATCAAATGTTAAGTTCAACTCTGGATTGGAGGGAGCTGAAACAGCGAAATCGATATGACGGGGAAGGTATTCAGCTTCTTTCAGTTTCCAACACATCCATGAAATGACATGCAATGAGCATTTTCAATTTTCATACGGAGTATGGTAGCATGCTTACGAGGGGAACGGGGCACAGATCACGAAAATAACTCTTCAGTCTCAAGTCAGGTAAAATCAGGGATATCGCCCCTGGGAGAAAGTTGGGAGTCAGATGAGAGTCCTTGGCTCACGCGTTGGTCCCAATATGCAGCACGTGATGCAATGGAACTGGTTTTAGGCTTTCGCCGTGCGGATGTGGGTGGATGTGACTGGGACCCACTACTCTCATCTGATGTGTAGCCACCCGAAATTTCTTCCTCTTCGCATTTTTTCCCGTTCAGTCTCTTTGGGACATTCGGGATCCCCAAATGCTCGGGGCTTGGGTTGTTTCGTTCCAATTCAGGGACACTAGAAGCGGATCTTCGAAAACCTTCCTCCACTACAGCAATGTTTCGATTTCGTTCTTTCGGGCGCTGCTTCTTCATTGCTTCCCGGATCTCTGCCGGCATGCTTCGGGCTGTCAGGCTGTGGATCTGATGGAACACGACATAGCCATATGTCCACATCCACTATCATCTAATAAATGACTGAACCAAATAAACAAGTAGAACAACAGAGTCCAGACCTCAAGCTGTGGTTTGCTTGGTGTAAAGGACTTGGCTCTATCCTCACTAGAGGACTCTCCTTGTTTCTCAACAATGATCACTTGAGGATTTTCTGTGCTCTAGGAAAACAAAGTACACACGATAATGATCCAAATAAGGATGAAGGGGAAATAAAAGAAGATCCAATGGGAACGTCCCCTACAGGAAGGAACTTAGATGCTAATTGGCGAACAGAAGGCAGGCTATGGAGTTCCTGCTCCTCAGGAATACCGCTATTGTCAGCCTCTGTCACCTGAGGTCGCTCAGCTTCAGTCTGTCGTGCTGAAACCTGCACAAAGGAATAGGGAATTCCAAACCTTGGTTCACTGGCTTATTCAAGGGTACTGTCAATGCAAAGCAGAGCTTAAGAGATATGCAGATACTAACCTGATTCACTTGAGGCTGGAGGGAGAGGAACTGTTGCTGCTGCTTGGGAGGTGAATAAGATGTCCGGCGTTTCCTTGTTTCTTCTCCTGGGATGTAATAATCCCTTCGGTATCTGAAAACAGAGGGAGTTTTTGTCTCACTTGATGTGATTTGATTAAATGATAAAACTCAGGAGGCACGATGCACATATTGCATTTCAACCACAATAATTTTCAATAATTAAATAAATTTTTAGATACCAGTAAAAACTAACCCATTCTGCTGAGGCACTCTCATTCATTCATCCGTTCATTCATAAGACCCTTCAACGGTTACAATACATCATTGTGTAAAACATGCTAAGGGGAACTCACTGATCTGGATCAATAGATTTTGGCCCACAGTTGATGGTGTATGGATTTGTAGTGTTAACATCATCAAATGATCTAGGGAGAAAATATTCAGATTAAGACTGACCCAAAAGGAGCAGTGAGGCATGGGAGAATTAATGTCTTGTAGTAAAGACTTTATGACTTTACCCCTTGACAAAAGCAGGGTCCTCCAGATGAGTAGTATTCCTCAAGTCCATCTTCTGCATTCGTCTTGCTATATTCTCAGCAGAGTATGGATTATTTGACAGAGGCTTAGCTTTCAGCCATTTCAGGTGTTCCCTCTCAGCAATGGTCCCTGGAAGAATGACACAAATAACAATAACAAATAATAATAATTAGTAGAGAGCAACAAGGAAAGTTCATCACAACGTCATGCATCCATGCTGTCAACACAGGCAAGAGCCATAAAGAGACAGAGTATCAAGGCAGAAGTTTCCAGAAGATGTAAAATTCTATCCCAGTCCCATGGGCCTTGCAAAAATGATGAATGGAGAAAGAGGAGGAGAGAGGACAAAGATTACCAGGTATAGGGTAGTGAGAGTCATGCTCTGACTTGGAGTGAGTGTCAGGTGGTGGGCATGCACTGGGTTTCTTCTCTTTTGAGGGTCTACCTGGTCGAGGTGGTCCATCAAGATGGAGATCAGAGACATCCCTAGTCCTTGTCTCATTTGATGTTTCTGACAAAGAAACCTGATTAAGAGCTTCTTCACTTGATGAGATCGCTTGTGACACCTCAAAGTCGGCCCGGGAACTCCTGCCAGGTTTTTCCTGCTCCTGGTGCTGCTGTGATGAAATAAATTATGGAATGAAAATTGATTGTCTCAGAAGTGATGGCTCTGAAAGGGCTCCCATGAGAAAAAGAAAAGATGCTCACACTTTGCCATAAAGAAGGCATAAGGGAAGGATTCGGGTTGGTTTTGGCTGTGAGGGATTCAGAACTTGAAGAGATAACTTGACAAGAGGACCTGGCTCTTCCAACACTATTCCACGCTTCCACCTCATATCTCCCAGAAAGATCAGCTACTCCTGACTTGAGTGTCAAAGTCCATTCTCCATACTGTAATGGCTCTGGGGATTCCCAACAATACTGATTGATGAGTCTCTCTTCTGCATTGATGATTTTACCAAGTCAAAAGGCAGAAGTGGTATAATAGTACCATACCTAGCTCAACAGCATTGCGTTCAAGTTTGGTTCCATCTTGGAATATGCAGAGGGATGGTTCTGGATATCCATCAACCTGGCATTGCAATTGTAGAGATGGTCTTCCATCATACACTACTTCTTCAGGTAGGTTTCTGACAAATACAGGAGGCTGATGAGCCCTATTGGTCTCTGGAATTAGATTGTGGGAATGAGAGTGGACTGCATTTTCACATTGACTTATGAATGGAAACTTCTTTTATATAGTTGAACTCACTGCGAATTACAACTTGGCAGTCTTGCCATCGTTGGCCAGTTTTAGTATGAATAGCACATGTATATATCCCACCATGGGATGGCATTGTGTTGTACCTCTCCAAGTGGAATGTATTCCTGACTTGATACATGTAGACATCATCAAGGCCAACAAGAGCTTCTCCATTATGATACCAAAACACAGCTACAAATAAAATAATAATACTGATAATAATATAAGCTAATGCAAGGGTATTCCTAGATTGACAATAATTCAACATAAAAGATGAATGACATAATGTAAATATCCTTCTACAGACACCATAAACCAGAATACTTTGGCAATCTGGGATAACTTTGACTGGTCTCTTAGAAAGTTACTGTTTCTGCCATACAATGAAAATGGTTTGCACTGAAAATAGATTACTTATTTTCTACCATTTTCATAAGTCTGGAGTCAAAATTAAGGAAAAATGCCAAATGTGACATGAATAGGTGATCATTCTCAGAATGAAATTTTGAAAGTGGAAAAAATGCCAGGGGAAGAAACAGTGTTTCAGTAAAATATTTTATGGAAAAAATGTCACTCCAAAGTCTCAAAGCTGCTCTGGGGTATTAAAAAAAAATGTTTAATGAGAATAAACTTGAAAATATGTTTCTTAGTCATAATTTATATATATATATATATATATATATATATATAGGGTGTCTGAAAAGTCACTCCCTATTTTTAAATTGTCATTGCTCCTAAACCAAAGGAGATATTGAAAAATTTCTTTAACTGAACTGAAGCTTATTTTTTACCATTTACTTTATAACAAAATTGAAAAGCTTTATTACAAAGTTAAAATTCAACGTAGGCTCCAGCATTGTCCACACACTTCTGTAACCTTACTGGTACATTTTCAACAGATTTTCTCAAGAAGTCACCTGGTGCATTGCCTAGAATATCA